TACACCTGGGTTTGGAGGGTTGGGGGGGGCGGCTCCATTATATTTTGCAGATTGGGAAACAGGGAGGTTAAGAGGCTGGAGAGAGCACCATGCGCCCGTGGGAAAGCTGGGAACGAGCCCTAGGGAAGATTAAGTGCCCCCAATGCTGGGATCAGTGGGCAAAACTCTCTGGCTTGTGCAATCAGGAGGCCCTAGTGGTCCCTACTGTCTTCAGAGCTGTGATTCTGGGATTTCTCATGACTACCCCTTGGCTTTCAGCACTGCTATCACTTTCTCCCATTTTTAAACCCCATTTTGAAGTGCATTGGCAAAGCAGTGGGCAGGGATGGGCTGACCCAGGCATTTCCAAAGACAAACCTGCTTCCCTTGCTAACCTGAGGCTGGAACATGGACATCTCTGAATGGCAGAAACAGCATCGGCGTGTGCCCGGGTCCCACGGTGAAGGGGGCGGAGGGGGACGAGGGGCTGAAGGGGCAGGCCAAAAGTGGCTGGTTCCTGTTCTCTGCCGGGAGTGCAGTGATTTCCTATATTTCTTCCTAACAGCTGAGCGAAGCAAAGTGATTGCATTAAAAATATAATTTTCAAATGATATGAAACACTATTGATTTTGCGTTTTAAATGCATTACAGATTGGAAAATCCATTTTCCTATTTAGAGGCTCCACCAGACCGAGCCAGACTAGGTCCTTCCACTCTCCTCCCAGGTCATTCTGCTCCTCATCCCACAGCACAGGGACTGCGGGAGGAGCTGGGAAATGCTGACACCCCAGGTGGGCACAGCTTTATAAACTCCCTCATCATAGGTCTGGATGATTTACCCTCCCATGAAACATTTTATCGAGGAAACAACACAATATAATTGTAAAGGGCCTGTCACAACTGCCCAGCATTATCCTCTGTGCTTGGCAAACAGAGAAGGCGGCCTATTTTCAAGTGCAATAAGGGTGAAATGGCTGGCATAAAACTCCAGTAATCAAATGTAAAAATAATAGCCCAATTCATTAATATCAAGACAACCTAATGGAGACATTCTTAATTATCAAATACAGCCATGGATTTAATTTTTACCTGAGTTGTTTAAGCTCAGTCATCTTTCCCTTTTCACAGACACTTTGCCGCAGGGCGACACTGAACATTTGTAATTGGATTCCATCGCTGGAGTTAATTATAAAGAGACAATAAAAACCAACTGGCTTCTATTTTAGTAACTATTATATTGTGCTAAAATCCTTTGTTTTGAGCATAGATATTTGTAATTTTAATTTAACACAAAACCCCTGGGCACATTTTGTGCGTGCGTGCGTGTATGTCATTACAAATGCATAAATAGGTGCACTCCTGTTCTATATGGCACGTATTATATGCCCATAGACACACTCACTATATGAAATGATAGGAGGCAGAGAGCATCTCTTCTGGGAGGTAAGATTCCCCTAATCAGGAATTTAGCCTCATTAGTCAATACAGAAACCATCCCTTTTCTACCCCTTACGGATATATTGAATCATTTTTCAGCCCCAACAGCTTTATTAACAGAAATGTGTCCCAGGCTGACTCAGTGCCTGGGAAACTTTGACACCCAGGAGGTAGACTGTGGTGGCACTGAGAAACAGGCTAAACTAATTAATAACTACAAGACAGAACGATGCACAGTAGGAAGCATTTAATCAGGACAGGGACTTCACTTCAACATGGCTCTTAAGCTGGTGTCCAACTTGAAGCCTGAGAGTCCTACTGACTTCTGGCCGGGCACCTGCATCAGTTCCCTGCTGAGGTGGGACTCGATCAGTCCTTCTCCATGTGCTTTATTCTGAGGACAGCTTGAGAAGTAGGGTCGTCTCCTGACTACCGCTATTCGGGCCGCATCAGAACAAGCTCCACGGACCACAGAAAACACAGTGTTTTCTAGGTGGCGACCTTAACATGAAGCAGCAAAAATGACTTTTCTTTTTTGTGCCACAAAACTATCAGTTCATCAGTGCCCTCACGTGACGACAAAATCTTGAGCGCAGGCTCCATGTCCAGTCCCCCATTAAGTAGTGATTTGCTTTGTGCAAGGGTCTATCGCTCCGCGTGTTCTCCGTGCCAGCCTAGGAAAGGAGGATCACAGCGAGATGACAGCTCCGTCCGTCAAGGTTACAATACGAAGAGGGAAAGATCGCAACCAGTGGGAGGGGAGGGGGTCTTAGTGCATTTTGAGCCGGTCCGTTGTAATAGTGCCTGTTCTGCCTTGCAAAAAATTGGAGGTTGAATTGCAGTCATTTGGCAGCTGTTCCCACCCCATCTCCCCTCCCAAGGTGAACTGGCCTAGTTTAGCTTCCTCTCGCTGTGGGATAGGAGCGGACACGCAAGACGGTTACAACAGACCAGCTGATACCCACTCACGGGGGGCTGACACCCTCTGCTGCAAAGGGCCACAAAGGGTTTCCACGATGCACCTAGCCCAGCGTGCAGAGATTCAGGGTGGGGGGGGGTGGCAACTTTCCTTTCAGACCTCTAAGGCAGTCACCTTATTCTGGTCCTGATCCAGAGAGGGGTATTCCAGTCTCTGTTTCACTCTCTCCCCTGTGGTGTTGCCTGGCCTGATTGAGCAAAGCAACTTAAACACATAATTACCTTCAGGCATTTGAGTCGTCTCCAAAGTTACACGCTTGCTTCAGCGCATGGTTGGATCAGGGCCAGAGCTCTCCGCACCAGGCAGGACTGAAGCATGAGACAGGACTACACCTCTCCGACTAGGTATGATTATAACAATTATTAATGGGCAGAAAATTACCCAGCCTTCTCTTAAATTAGCTCTAGCGAGTGCCTCAGATAGCTATCGCTTCTACAGGCCATTACAAATGGACCCTCCATCATCTAAAATGCCCAGGCAGTGATATTGCTATGCAAATCATAACCGGATTACTGAGGCTGACTAAAGGCAAAAGGAGCTATTTCTGCTGCCTCCTCTTAGAGCAAACAGCCAACATACTCCTACCCCGACGCCAAACGCTACTGCCAGCGTGTTCAGTCCTTCCGAGCGGCTGAGTCAGTTTGGGCTTTTCTGTGCGCGACAGAATATCAATATTTTACTCATGAAAGCCTTTTGCCAATATATTTGTCCCCAACCCTAAAGACCCCTGATTAAAGGAGCACAATACTATTTGGAAACTTTCTCTATCACAGAAGGGAAACGCCGAAGTGTTATACCTGCCTGATAGCTCTTGGTGCTATTTATCTGTCACTCGTATTACATTTAAAGTACAAACGTGTTAGCTGTCCATAGGAACAAGAACTTGTGGTAGAGGTGGTATCTTTGATTAGGGAATAGTCTGTTTACCTCCAAGTTGCTTGGTGGGTGTGAGCTGTCCGCATGTATTAACACACAAGAATACATACTGAAATAAAACACAATAGATTTTTGTGCTTATTATTGTCAGTTTAAAGCGACTGTTTTTGATTAAAACCAATTGTGTGTCACCCTCTGGCTAAGTGTTTGTAGAAGAGGCACGATGTTGGAATTTAAACAACTGCAGGTCAAAATTAATGCCACGACTGTTTGATAATTAAAAATGCCACCTCCAGGAGCTTGCCTTGCTAAGCAGGCAGGAAAAGCCGGCGTCAGGATGTTCGGATCCGTTTCCGTTACTACAGAGGCTGATTGGGGCTAATCAGCAAAGCTTGCATCAGTATGTGCAGGAGGTAAAATAAAACCTAGCCCAGGGCACACAATGAATAAGGAGTGAACAGAGATACAGTTAAGGAAGGAAAAAAACCACATCAGGGAACGGAGAAGCCGCTCTGCGGCTATTTCGTACAGGGAATAAACACGGGGATTAAAATAGCCAAGTGCGGCAATCAAAAAGTAAGCATCTAGTTTCCAAGACAGTTTGGCATTTACACAGACAGACAGACAGCAATGGAGGAGGATACAGGCTGGTGTCTCTGCAGGGAAGGGAGATGAGATGCACCAGGCTGCCAGGGCCAAAGACAAAGCACTGCACGATGCTAACAGATCAGCTGTGATTTTTGTGCATTTACATTTTTACCTCACTCATTCGAATCTTTTTTGGTACATTTTCTTCTTTTTATCCCCTCTTTGTCAGCAATCTCTCGCTCTTGCTGTCTATGGATTTGTCTCTCTCTGTCTCCTGTCAGGCACAATAGGATTTTTCTGTCTTTGCGTGCCTCTCTCTCCATCCACTCCCACACAAACACTGCCACTCACAGCCTGAAAATCTTCCCTTTCATAACCATTTTGTACTCCTCACAGAGTTCCCCCCGGTAAGCCTCACACATCTGCATGCAGCCACCCCGCTCCTTCCTTCAGAGGCACATCCTCACCCGCTGCTCCACTTCCACCCGCCACCTGCAAACACCTCTCCCGTGTACCCCAACTGCATTCACCCGGCTCAGGGGCATTTCCATGCCTCCAGTCAATCGCGCGCACACACATAATCCATGCACAAACCCAAGCCTTGACCTCATACATTCACGATTTCAAAACAGTACTAGCACATCAGCAGTAAGCATCATGTAGTCCTGGGCTGAGGCTGTAGGCTGTCCTATGCTATGCATGACAGCTGGCCAATTTCTCACAGGAAGGTTAGAAACCCCCGCCAAATCTTATGAAGTATTCATGAGCCAAAAACCCTTCCTGACCCCTAACTGGTGACTAGCAGAAGCCCTGAAGCATGGGAATTAAAGCTAGTGGTATCAGAAGAAGAGCAGCATGTCAAAGGCCATTTTGCTGAGGGCCAAGCTACAGTAAAAAGCCAACAGGACCTTGGACAGTTGCTGCCTTGACAAGGAACTTGCCTAAAAACTGTCTCCCAACCTTGCTCTAGAAGAGGGGACCAAGAGGGAAGACCTGAAGGGAAGGCTGGAGAGGGAAATGTTCTTTCCCAACAGCTCCAGTCCCTGGGTTGGCCAAGGGTTGGGTTGGCCAAGCTGAAGGAACAACCAAGTCTCCGAGCCGGCATCTTGGCATCGCCCTCCAAAGAGTCAGCGAGAGGAATCTGTCTGGCTCCCTAACAGGCTGCGTGGGCCACGAAACGCTGACAGGGCGAGGGCTTTAAGCAGCAGCGCTATCTGCATTTTATATTAACTTTGCTAAGCATCGTTTGACCTTGTCAGTACAGATAAAGCCCTGTGAAGTGCAATGTCAGATAAAATGTAATTTTAATTAAGTATAGTTATATCCGGACAAAGCGCAGCTGAATACAAATGACCCCGTGGTTTAATACTTCCAATTCATATTGAAATGTCTTTTGAATCTGTGGGGCTGTGAGAGTCAATGACCTCCCAAAAGGGGCATGTAAGGTGGAGAGTCTTCCCCTTCATGGCTGCCAGGCACCTGCCACCGAGCTTGGGTCGTCTCCAGCGCAATACAATATGCAGCTGGGCAACTCCACTGGACCTTTCTGATACTGAAGACTTCTCTTATCCTCCCCATGCTACCTGTTGGCACCGGGTTTATGACCGCCTGGAACAAGGTATCTGGGTTAAATCCTACCCCTCTCATTTAGTGGGGGTCCTTGGCATTTTAAATGCCATTCATTTACTGATTTTTGCTACAAACTTAAATCAATCCATGATGTGGGCCAGAAGCGATCCCTCTGTGTTCAGAATAAAACTGATTTTATTTTCTTCCCCAATAAATAATTTAAAAATCAACTGGATGATTGACTGACGGCCCCCTAAATCAGCCTCAGAGGAGCCACAGCCTGTCTAATGGCAGGAAAAGGAGGAGCGGGGTGGGGGCATAACTGTGTGAGTAAAGACTACTGATCTGAATAGGGGCTTACAGAATCAGGCCACACATTTCCGATGTTCACGTGATGTTTGGTTCTTGATTTGAGGAAAGCAAAATAGACAGACCTGCCCACAAATCACTAATAAGATATATTTGCCCTGGCTGCTCACACTAAAACAGGCAGACAAAGTGTAAAATGCCTGCATACAACAATGTCCTGATCAGAGGGAGTACCCAACCCTCTGCTATTAACCACTGAGTACTCAGCTAATAGCTTTCACCACTGGGGCTAGATTTATCCTTTTTAATCTCTAAATTAAATAAAACAGAGCCCCTTTGGAAATGCAGCAAAGCCCTCTTGCTCCAGGCCACCACGTTTCCTTTTTATGCTTCCTTAAGGGTCTCTGTTTTTCTGTCTCTTCTCATCACCCAGAGTAATTTGGGACCATTAGAGAAAGTTCATTGCTGTAATCGCAACCATATTGGTCATTAAAGTTGACAGACAGCTGTTGAGAAAGTCGCTGGCTGATTCCCGCTCCTCTGCAAATGCCTCGCTGTGTTTGCTAAATCGGGACTTTGAATTTATGAAAAGGAAGCAAAATCTATTTTACCCCCAGGACCGATATTGTCAGGGAAGGAAGAGCGCTCCAAACTCAGCCCCGTCTGTATTTGTAAACAACGCTCACATGCCTCTTGCTTAAGCAGAGGCAAACTGTTCATTATTTACTTGATCCAATAAAGATTTCCCCCGAGCTCTCGCTCCTGGTTTGAAGTCAGTAATGCATTTTGGAAAGAGAGCTTGTCCCTCCCGCCTCTATTTCGGAGCTGATAAAACAGCAGACCTCAAATAACGTGTCTGCGCTTCAGGACCTGAGAGAGGAGAGAAGGCTGTGCATTTCCACGGAGCATGGGAAGATCTCAGCATGCCGGGGGCCGTGTTATTACCCTTCGTGTTAGAGAGGGGGAAAGGTAAGTGGAGAAATCAGAGGCCTGCCTGTGTCTAAATGAACAGTTAAGGTAAACCAGGCTCCAGCCTAAGTGCAATGAGTTAGTCCCAGAGCCTGGGGATTATCCTGTTAAAGGATCCCTGACAAGTTATACCAGGTGAGACCCTGCCTTGAGGCACCTAAGAGCTCAGTTGACACAGCGAGGCAGATGCATAGATACAAGCAAGGATTTATTTTGCAGCCATGTTGGTCTGGGACACAGAGGTGCAAAAAGCCCTTGGGTCAGAGGCAATATCTTTCATTAGACCCACTAAATAGTGGCAAAAATATTAGTTGCAAAAAAAAATTGTAGCAAAGAAAGGATTTTTTTTTTTTGCTGCTATTTAGTGGGTCTAATAAAAGATATCGCCTCTGACCCAAGAGCTTTGTGCATCTCTAGTTACAAACAGATCACAGATGTCCTGACTCCCCAGTCCCTGATCTCAGCAGGCAACTTACCTGCTTCCCACTTTGTCACCCTTTGAGCACCTGTCCTCACCTGCAAGCGCAGGGGGAGAGGGGAGAAAGCCTTTTCAAGAGAGACTTGCCTGACGGATCGCTTGTCGCCTCTCGAGGAGAGCAGCCGCGGGGAGTTACAGCAGACAGGCTTCAGACGCATGCTGCAGTGCCTGCGCTTACTTGCAAGGTCTTATGTGCTTTTCCTTTTCTTCTGCTTTGGAAGAGCACCCACGCAAAGTTACCTTGTGGGGTTCGGCTCCATCGGATGCGCTGACTGCCACAGCGTCGTTCTGCAAACAGTCAAGGACAGACAAATCCTTCAGACAGCTGCTCCTCGGGGTGCCCTCCCCAAGCCCCTGCCGGCAGCATAAAAAAATAAAGAGTTTGGCTCCTTTTCACTTCTTACCAGAAACATCTCGCTCCTACTCCCTAATTAGCGACCAAAGTCGTCGTGCGGGTGCTTGCGAGCTAGAGGGCAGTGTTTTACCTTCTTGTCCAGCCTTGTGAGTGCCAAGGGCTCCGTAGGCTGGAAAAATAAATTGGACATTAAATATTTTATTTTGGATCTCCTACTACTGATTTATTTCTGGTGCGATGCAGCAAGTAAATATTTCGCGCCAGTATTCACAATAAATCCCACGCACTGCACGCCAGGCAGTAAGGGCCCACTCCAGATTCTTTTTGAAACCAGTAAACTTTATTTATATATAACAACAGTACAAAGTGAGTCCTTGGCTTGCAAAATAGGAGTGTTTCATATTTACAATAGGTACACAATAATATATTAGAATAATAACAAAAACCCTTTTTTTCCCTCCTTGGAACGCTTTTAAATACTTAAACTTTCTTACATTTTTTTTTCCCACAACACTTGTAAAAACAACAAAAACCAGACAACCATCTTTTAAAAAAAAAAAAAAATATAATACAGAACTCCAGTGTGTCAAGTATCACGCGGACAGGTGGACGGGGCGGGGAAGGGTTGGGCTGTGTGGTGCAGACAAAGTATACCGTCAAATTTAGTGTATCTTGCCAGCCCACCAAAACCAAAATAAAATGAAATAAAAATAAAAATAATAAAAAAGGGTCTTATGACGGGCATTTCTTTAATTTGTAAGGGATGGGTCAGATAAATAAAGAGCCCTTTGAACCCCAAATATCTTTGCTTTAAAACTCACATGATTATTATTTTTTTTAATTTGGTTGCTACCCTCACATCCCCCTTTTTCATGACCGTCCCCCTGCAGAAGGTGCCCTAGCAAGTGAACTGTCTCCGTGGTACGGCGGGGACGGAGCTGGCTGCGATACATTCTGAGTATTAGCACGAATGAGGCAGAAGTAAGGACCACAGACCGGGGCTCTTGCGCTTTTTGACGCCTGCCTATTCAGGCACGTGCCTGCTCTGGCCAGGAGGGGAGGGGACCAGCATTCAACGTTTCCCTAGCCCAAATGCAGCACAGGGGCCAGATATCGCAAGGGAAAGCCTGGTCAGGACGTGTTTGCAGGCTCCAGAGACAGGCGCTGGGGTTTGGGCGAGTGCCCCTGTGTTGGGTGCTATGCCAATCTTTGCAGCCTTTTGCTAACAGCAAGGAGGGAAAGTGGGGATGGGACAGGGACTTCTTCCACCCAAAGGGGTGAGAGGGCAGCGAACATGAAGGCAGATGGGCATTTTTAGCCAGCACGGATAAACACACGGACACTGCAGCATAAACAACACGGGCAGGACACATCTGGATTCAAAGGCCTGGCTTATTTCATGTAAAATCCTGACAGCTATGGCAGCTCCAGCTGCTCTAGCAAGGGGAGGAACTGCTCGCTTAGCCATTTGCTCCAGTCTGTGGGTTGCTGACGGGGCAGGACACGACACCCCGGTGCTCGCGCTGCCCCCCACGGCTGCTGTGGTGGGATGCTCTGCGCCTGCCACGAAACCCGGAATGGATCCGGGGACAGCCGGGCTCCTCTCCTGCCCCCGGGCCCCCTTTGAGCCAGTCTCCAAACCTGGCCCACTGCTACCAGGACCAGTAAACCAGGGAGGGGATCAGAAGGGGTAGGACAGAGACCAAGAAAGCTTTGCACTGCACACTTGTCCTTAATTGAGTCTGGAAGAAGTGCTCAGCATGTCACCGGGATTTCTGGCTCCTCGCTTTGCCTTAAACTAGACCAGGAGCCCTGGAGAAAGGGGCGTTTGAAGAGGCAAGGGAATAAAATGAGCACTTCCTTTCAAATGGGGGGCCTTTGTGGAGGAAGGAGGGAGCCGTACTCCCTTCTGGTTGGGTGGATACATCGTTCACTTGCTAGGAACTGGGCAGACAGATTTTGCTTTTGTTCCTCTTTCTAAGAGAAGAAAAATATGTTCAAAGGCTTCACAGTTTTTAAGACCTTGCCCTTTGAACTGGCCTGGCTGAGCTACATGGAGGTGTTGCGGTTCGGGGTGCTCAGGCTCTGAACCGCACCCCACAGGTTTCTATTTCTAAGTCAAACAGCTCCTTCGACAAGCAGCTCATCCCAAAAGAAACGTTTCCAGCAACGCGACTGCCCTGGCCACATCAGCGCCGGGCGACTGTGTATGTGTCGCACACGTAAGGCCTTTGGCCCCTCGCTTGCTGATCTCAAGAGGCCTGGGACGAAGCGGAGCGGGGCTGGGAGGGGGGATCGTGGAGTTTTCACTGAAGACACATTCACAAAACAGATCGGACCGTTCACCTAGCTCTACCTAGCAAGTAACTATATACAACATCACAGCTCTGTATTATTGGCTTACGGTTTCTGGTACACATGGACTACTGAAATAGGATGACTGAAGCTGTGCTGCCCTCAAACACATCGTGGATGCTGGCTGCTTGTCCTCCTTTTCTGAACCCTTTTGTCTTCCCTGCGCAGCACAGTCACTGCTGAGGTTTCCCCCTGATGGCCCAGCTTGTTTGAGTCCATCTATTTTTCTTTCATTCAGTTTGGTGAACTAAGTCCTCGTGACAGGTGAATGCTGACAGCACTGGAAAATGAAACAGAGCTGCCGGTGACAGCCAAAAACACTGCCCTGCAGCTGCCAGCGGGAAACAGTACAGGCACAGGCTTAAAAAAATGTTTCCAGAATAATTCTCCAGCCCCTGCTCTGGCCCAGGTGGAGTTACGCTCTCAAGGGCAACACACAAACCAGCTTCCCTCCAACTCCCTTGCACCAGCGAGTGGTTAGCAAGACCCTGCATGCACATCCACACCGGGCACCAAGCAAGAGGCACCCAAGCCAGCAGCCACAGCTGAACGCCTGGACTCGTGCTCGTATAGGGCACTTGCACACGTTATGCATTTACACGTAGAGCCCAGAGCACAATCACCGAACCGCCGAGTCCTGCTGCAGGGCTCCCCTACTCAGCCTGGACATTGCAGACAACCTGTGAGGCGTATGGAATAGGGAGAGGCTCCTTTTTTTTTGGTAAATTCCATGTAAAACCCTTGCCAGCAGTGGCATATGTCCTCTTAAGAGGACATGGGTGGCCTGGCTGTTGGGATTGTCACAGGGGAAAGGCATTGAACACCTGTGAGGCGAAGGGTTTTATCACGCAGCACTGGGATTTCACGGGGAAAGGCTGGCCACCCGCATACGCAGATTCAGGTTCATGACTCATTTCGGTCCCCCTTTCCACGGCTCTGCTCCTTCACACCCTGGCCCTGGGGTGTTTTTCATAACGCTTGCTTGTCATGAATTAAGCTACAGTCCGTTCCCCGCTGAGCTGGACCTAGGGTGGCCTCAGAGGTTCTGGTTTTAGCTCTCCTGGCTTTATGCACCTGGCAACCCCCTTCCCTACCTCTCCTGTGGGAAGGAGCGGGCCATCTGAGCTCCACATCAGCCTGCTTCTTGGAGGGATGCAGCACCGTGGTGCAAAGGCAGCAAGGTCCAGGCAGAGGCAAGCTTGGCTAGGAGTTAGGACTTGGGCATAGGGGGTTTTAAAAAAGGCTTTCAAGGTGGAGAAGCATTTGATTAGCACCTAGCTACCCCTTGGAGTGGGTGCTTTGATGGCTCTGGATAACGCTCAAGTGCAGAAGATTAAATAGAATTATTTAAACAGCAGCACCAGACACAGAGAGTCCAGAAATGACGTCTTCTGCTTTGATGTCGAAACACCTGAAACAAAGCCGACCGGAGAATCAAAACGCCTGGGCGCGTTTCTCCCACCTGGCCTGGTGCGGGGAAGGAGGCGCAGAGCTAGATGTGCAATCATTTCATCTGCGGCAAACCTGGGGCATCCCTGCCGACCGAACCTGGCGCGGGGCTTGCCTGCAGCACGCAGACCGCTCCGTGCCGAGATCTGAAGCGCCAGCCCCAGAGGACTGAGAAGTCGGCTGTAAATTGGGCATCGGATCACAAGAGCTTCGCCACATAATTTCCTGCAAGCATCCATTATTCACGAGAACCAAAGAAAGGAGCGCTGAAGAGACTTGCTCGGTCACACTTCAGCCGCTCCTGCCCCCGCCTGCAGCAGACCGTCCCCTTCGCTGCCTGACTACGTCCGGTCCTGTTTCAAGCGATTCAAACACTTTGGCTTCAGCTGCTTCCCTTGGGACGCTATGCCACAATCTAATTAATGCTCCCAGGAGGCAGGCACATTGACCCTTTCCTCAGATGCCATCGCATACACGCAGTAATTAATCCCAAATACTCCCTTTCCCTCCTTGTGCTTAGGAGCATTCCTTGAGCATGCGCAACTGCCCCTTTCCCCAACCCATCATATTAGACATGTCTTGTTCCCTCCTCAGTGACATCCAAGCCCTGCAAGTATTTTAATTTTTCCCTAGTCTTCTCCATTGGTGGGATGAAGAACTGCACAACTGGTTTCCAAGCCTCCAGACAGCAAAGGAGGAGAATGATGCTAAGGGATGAAACAACTGGAGAAGAGGAGACCGAGGGGGATTGAATAGCAGCCTTCAGCTCCCTGCAGGGTGGTTGCAAAGAGGATGGAGCTGGGCTGTTCCCAGGTGACAGAACAAGGAGCAATGGGCTCAAGTTGCAGCAAGAGAAGTTTAGGTTAGATATTAGGAAAAACTTCCTCACTAGGAGGGTAGTAAAACACTGGAGCAGGTTACCCAGAGAGGTGAAATCTCCATCCTTGGCGATTTTGAAGACCTGGGTAGACAAAGCCCTGGCTGGGATGATGTAGTTGGGGCTGGTCCTGCTTGGAGCAGGGGGTTGGACTAGATGTGACCTCCTGAGGTCCGGTCCAACCCTTGTTTTCTATGATTCTAAGCATAACTGATGAATACACCCAGCCAACGGGTGCTATAACACACAACGTGGATGCTGTACGCTGGTAAAGACAGCCTCTGCGTAGTGCCACCCCCGAGGCTTGTGCAATGACTTTTATACAGCAGGCAAGAGATCTAGGATCTGCACTGTATCCCCACAGCACTAGGGAGCTGTAGGCAGAGACTTCAGCCTTCACTAGACAGAAGAACAGAGTAAAGGGAACACACGCTGGAGAAGACGGCTGGGCAGGGAGACGGGCAAGGTGTGCGTGATGCCTCCTAGCAGAAGACAGCTGTTCCAGGCCTAAACCTAGTTAGACAGGGGATCCTTGATGAGTTGACAGGAAGGAATTTGGACTGCATGGTCCTAAACAGATCCTGGTAGGAGCATGGGAGTTCTCCCATCAGGGTGCAGAAATGATGCCAAGCAACTCTGGAGAACAGTTAAGCAGGCAAAGCGAATAGGGAGTCAGAAATACTTGAAGCGATGGCTGTGACCAGAATGCAAGGCTGAACAAAGGTGCGCATTGATCGTGTGCTGGATTGCTGTGAACAACAACAGCAAAAACCTGGGGAAACTGAAGTCTTTTGGGGGAATATCACAGATCTGCCTTTATGCAATGTCAGCAACAGAGAGCTGGTCAAGTTAGCAAGCGCTCTAATGACTAGATGGTGAATTTATTAGCATTGGGATGCCAGGCTTTAATAGGATGACCTGGCAGATTCTCCCTGTTCTGTCTTTGTAATTAAGACTCCTGGTGCAGGTAAGGGAACCTGGGAAGCAAACTCCCCCGATAATAGGCAGCCTGTCTCTGTGCTGGTCTCCACACACCCCCTTCTTGTACCCATGTCTCCGTCAATCGGAGTCTTCTCGTTACAAAGCTGAGGCTGTAGCGAATGTCAAAAACTACAGCTTATTGCACAAGGTTGGTCATTAGTATTTCTTTCGGGCTACTAATAGGGCCCAGAGAAACTCACCTAAGTGGATTACCAGAGGAGAGTGGGCTTGGCGCGGCTTTCAATGGAGGATAATTGAAACAGCAAGTTTCCTGAGTACTTCTCCGAACGCTTTTCCCTCCCTCCTTGTCGCTGTCTGCATTCAGACTCCTGGGACTCTCGCTGCCTACTTAAAGCACCAGTTTGAACCTGCACGTCAGCGACCAGATTGCTCCCAGCTCCCTTCTGCAGCAGCGGGATGGGGGTGGGTGGCTGGCTGTGAAGTGGTATTTTCTTTGCAGCACCCTGGCAGCAAGCTATGACCCCAGCCCTGCACAGGCACAGATTGCTGACGACCGTGGCACAGCTCTGTGAGCCCAGGATCCTAGTGCAGGACTGCGGCGCAGGTTGTGAGCGGGGACTAACAAGAGCTTATGTACAGGCAAGCTTCAGCCACACCTTTCAGCTCTGTACAAATGCACGAACAAAGATGGATTTCAAGACGAGAAGGCTGTATACTCTAATGGTTTTGCACTGTAGGTTCAGTTCCTTCCAGTATGGCGGGGTGAGTCTGTGGGCCCAGTACCATGAGGCCTTTCCCCCCCCTCCCCACACCCCTTCTGGCGCTGTTGGGAGGATGCGGTAGCTTTACCGGAGTCCCGCGGCGGAGCGGACTCTGCGTAAGTCATAACAGTACCTAGCACGCAGCACCCGCACGTGTGAGATGGCAAAGCACCCACGCTCCTTTGGCTTCAGCCAGACCTTGACCAGCACGTCACATTGCCAAGCCTTTGCTAATCTTCTCACCCCACGAAACACTGCTCCCCCCACTTCAGAAGCAGGGGAAAGAGCACCGC